TTCCTGGCCCGGGCCCTTAAATAACCTCTCTGACCTCAGCAGCCGGTCCAATCGAAGCTGCCAATACTGGCTACAAACCGTCCAATCTGCAAAGCATCCCTGGCTACCTGGGCCCGCGCGCAGGGCCGGGTCTTCCCCCCCCACCTTGCCCAGGTGACCAGAGCATCGCCTCCCAGGCGCCAGGCTTTTGTCTGCAGACAAGGAGCGAGATCCCCACTGAGAGAGATTCAACAGCAGCCTCTCGGGCTGGCTGAGACAGATCTCTGGAGAGGGGCACCGACGGGGCATTTCTGCCACACCCGGGTTCTGCAGGGGGCGAGTGGAAAACACTAACCTACGCCCTACGCCAGATCAACGTCTTCACTTCCATCCACCTTGCTCGTGTTGCAGGAGCAGGGGGGCTTTGTTCAGCAGCACCCCCTGAGCTCAGCCCTGCTGCTGCATCCAGACACGTGGGAGTAGTGAATCAGAAGTGCCTGCTTCACACCCTCAGAGTCACGGGTTTGAGTTGCAAAGACACCTGGGCTCTTCTGAGCAGGCCAGCGAGGGGAGATCTTTTGCAGGATATTAGCTGCTGGTGTAATGAGTGTTAATGTTCACAGGAACTTGATGCACTAGTCAGATGCAGGGAAATGAGTTGTGAATCTCTGCACAGCAAGGTGATGTGGTTAAAGGACACCCCCCCCAGCAGCCACGTTCCTGTGGGAGGTGCTCCTCTCCAGAAACGATCAGCCCCGAGCCCTTGCACTGCAGCTCTGCGCATTGAGGGCAGCCCTCAGGCCGGCGGGTCATCGTGGCCATCATGTTCCTGGCCAAATCCCTGCTTGTCTCATCCTTAGGTAAACCTCCCCCACGGCTCTCAGCACCATGCTCCTGGGATTGGGGACACGAACATCCTCAGCGGGACACAGATCCCAGTGCTGGGCTCTGCCGTGGATTTCAAATGACTTTTTGTGGCCTTGGAGGTAGCTATAGAGGGGGTTGTTGAAAGCAGGATGCTGCTTTCATCCTGCATGGAAAGCAGAAGTCTTAGCAGCAAATGCCTTCTCGTCCTGAGATGTGAGGGGCACCTGTATCAGCCTGAGACCCGCTGGAAGCTGACGATTGCCCTGTTGTGTTTCTACAGTGTTGGGAGTCCAGTTACATCTGTACCAGCCTCAGCAGTTCCTGTTTGTGGAAGTCGGTGGGACAGCAGAGATCCACTGCTCCTCCAGGGAAAGTGTGGAATGGGGAGGAAATGTGCACTGGTATCTGAGAAGGACGGGTGAGGCCCCCATGCACATTAAGAAGTGTGCAGATGAGCAAAATGTGAGCAGATTTGCTTGCAAGCATAAGGGATGCACCACAACACTGGAAATCAGAGCGATCCAGAGGAATGAGTCTGGCATTTATTACTGTGCACATGCAGCCACCAGCTCCTTGATGTTTGGGAATGGAACCACGGTGATAGTTGGAGGTAACGACCCATTGCTTCTTTAATTAGAAATATCTGAGTGTCTCATTGCTCACGTCCCATTAGAAAATAACAAGTAACTGTAAGAATGTAGATGAGTAAAGTGCTGAAAAGAAGCTGTGTTTCTATCCAAGTAAAATGGGTTCAGCGTTAGCTGCTGGGGTCAAAGAGAAAATGGGCTATTTAGGGTTTTTCCCAGGGGAAACCTGGCAAGTGGTGCAGGGAAGTACTGGGGTCTCCGTGGGGCTGGTCTGTGCAGCCAGGCTGGGAATGTTTCTCCCTCCGAGCCATGACAGTGGGTGAGAAGACTGTGATCTCCCAAAGCTGCTAGTGCTGCTTTGAGAAGGCTGCCCGGCTCTCTCCTGGCTACGAGGGCCATGCCTTGGCCTGGTTCCTCTCTTCCAGTTTGGCAGGTGGCAGCACATATCCTTATTCCCAAACAGACTCATATTGCGGTTAATCTCTTGGTTACAGACCCACAGCTGTGGCTGGCCTGTAGCTCAGCTCTGTCTCCCCTTGAACTCTCTCCTTCCTCTCTGCCCAGACAGCTTCACCGACAGCAGCTCTGTGCTGCTCCTGGGCCCCGTTGCAGGAGAGAATGGAGTCACAGAGCCTGCACATCTGGCCTGTGTGGTCTGGGGAGTCTCCAACCTTGTCCAGGTGTCCTGGCATGTTCCCAGAGAGGAACCAGCCCAGAGGCTGCCACGCTCGCTGGAAGCCAGTGATGGGTCCTTAACACTCATGCATGGCATCAACATCCCCTGGACCAGCTGGGCCAGCGGGGCAGCCGTCACCTGTGAGGTCACATTCAACTCGTCTGGCAGCAGCGTTACCAGACATGCCGTCTATTCTGCATGTGAGTGGTTCCACATTTGCACCTAAGACATAACATGCATTCAAAGCTACAGCAATCACTGGTGCCTCTAATGTGCAGGGGCTGGACAATCGTGTCATTTTTGCATGCAGGCAGATGTGCAGGGAATTTGGGAGAAGGTGGTATTAAACAGTGCCCTGAGACAAGGTAGACAAGGTAGGCTACGTGGAGACTTCTGAGAGGAGTTAAATGAGATGGCAGAGGATGCTAGGATAATCCTGTCCCCGGGAACAGGAAGCAGCTCAGTAAGGAGGAAGCGTCCCTGTTCTCCTCCAGACAGATGGGGAAGTGGGGACTGGATAGAAGAAATCCCTAGATCTCAGTCAGCAGCTTCCATCCAGAATCTCTCAGGGTTTTACAAGGCTTGGTAGTGCTGGTGCTGCTTTGGGGCTGGGGATATTGAGGCACAGGCAGGGCAGTGACCTGCAGGCGATTGGTAGCACCAGAGAGAGAGCCCAGCTTTCTCGGGTCCTCTAACCACTGGACCCCGCTGCTGCAGAGTACAGCAGGCCAAGAGCACCCTATTTCTCCCTTGTAGCTCCTTCCACACCCTGCGTCATGCTCCCTGTCGTGGCAGTGGGCAGTGCTGTGCTGCTGTTCACGGTGCCCTTGAGTCTCATCTGGATCTGCTGCCCTCCCAGATGGGGTAAGAAACAGCGCGTGGTCCCCAGACGCTCCCTGGGCATCACCAGTGGGCTCACCTGTGCGGGACGACCAGGCTGCAGCCGTCACAGGCCCCCGAGGCTTCTCCTATGCCTGGAGTTTGGCTCCGAGCTCTGCCCCCGGGAGTGATGTAGACAGGCCCCTGTGTAACAAACGGGCATCCCAGTGCTGATCTCAATATAGGCCCCCTCACCTGTTTCCAGGCTAGCCACCTGCCTGTGTCACCCGCCACTCCTTGATCTTCTGATTAGTTCATATTAATCAGGCTGGAGGCTGCCCTTTACCTGCCCCGATGACAAGGTCCTTTGTATACGCTCCGACCTCCCTTTGTCGTGTCCCATGTCTCGCAGATGTTTCCCCCAGCTAGCTAGTGCTGGGACCCGAGCTCTGGAGGCTTACGTGTGACTCTCACTCCCCACCAGGACTCGAGGTCGCAGCGCCCTCACACTGGGTTCTCTATCCTGGCCTCACATCCGGCCTTATCACCTTCTCTATACACTGTGCTCCCAACCCTATCGCTGGGCCTACAAGCCCCATCCTCAGGCTCCAGGCTTCAGGTCCCCCTGTCTCAAGGTCATAACCCACCTGGGATGTGAGGGGCAGGGTTTCAGGTGTCCCTACCTGCCTTTCACTGGGGAGGTAACTGGCCTGGCATTTCTGGGGAGCTACCCCACCACCAGCTCCACCAGGCCACCCTTCTCTAGCCGGGTGCAGTTTTAGGTCATGCCCAAGACTATGGGGCCTCCTCCATCCCCATAGCCCCAGCCCTGACCTCCAAGATAGTCCAGGCAGCAGCTCAGCCAGATGTTGCCTCCTTGGCTGGTAGCAGCAAACTGCTACCCTGCAGTTCAGGGACCCAGCCCTTATATACACCATCTGGGCCCTGTTCCCCAATCAGGCAACTCTGCTTGATTAGCTGTGGGCTGCCTGGTTGCTGTTCAAGTCCCCGATAGTACCAGAGCACAGGGTGCTGTGTTACACCCCACCACAGACAGCCTGAGCCTGGAGTGCATGGCTCACGCAGGGCACGAGCCTTTGCACCAGGGATTCATTTGTGTGCTCAGTCCTGTGTACATGGGGACACGGCAGTGGAAGAGGAGCTATGACCACTGTCTCCATTTCAGGATCCTGCCCCAGGACGCCAGCACCGCACATCTCCCATCAAAATCAGGTATGGCCCAATATAAACCTTTGCTGTCTGCCTTGGTGGGCCAGTCTGTGGGTCCATCATCATCACAGCATATCGCTCACTGACACTGAATTATTAACTGACAAAAGAGAAGTGCAGTTCAAAAGCAAGCAGTATCTTAGCCTGGCCGCTTACAGACTATGGAACCCTGCTTTAGTCCTTTTAACTGCTTTATCCCTGTGTGTCGAAATGGAGCTAACAAGACCTCCTTCCTCTGGGTGCTGGGAATGTTAAATGGTATCTTTAGACCCTCTTTGGGTCTTGGATGGACCCTGACCAGTGGCTGGCACATAAATAAGCAGGGTACTGGATTTCCTCACATAACAGGCCCCCAAATCTAATAGGCATCTTGTTTTTGAATGGTGTCTTGAAGAAATGTTTTCCCCAGATTTATGGCTGCAGCGAGCAGGGCAGAGCCTCCTCTTCGTGCTTCACTAAACCAGGGCTGCAGAGGAAGCCTGGTCTCCATGGGTGGACCTCTGATCTGGAACAGACTTAAAGAGATGTGACGTAGGAGTGGAGGCCAAGTACCCTAGTACTCTAGAAGACAGTAAATCTGCTCTCAGAGGCTGGGGCACTAGTGCAGCCACTTTGAAAGAGAAGAGATGGTGGTTAACCCCTGTGCAGTGAAGAGTAAGGGGCCGTGAACTCCTTCATTGGCCTGAAGAGTAACAGCAGAGCAACTGGGCAGCAGGGGGCAAGGTCAGCCACTTCTATGTTGGGGAAGAATCAGCTTCCCCACTTTATACCTACACCCCAATTCTTGGCTGGTTTGGTGGGGAAAGGTGCACGGTGCATGCTAGAAAACACAGTGTTTGCAGAGCACTTCCAGGCATGGATGTGTGAACTGCCTAACGGGGGGTAGAGTCTGCCAGGGCTTCACTGGACCAGGGGAAGTGCCCGTGTGCCTGCGCTTACCCCAGGGTACATGGAGGCCAGACGGGTTTAGCTTAGTCCTGGTTCACTGAGGGTTAAGGACCACCAGGCAGCTTCCACGTACCACTGCGCGAGAGCGGACACATAAGGGGTTACCACAGAATAGCTGATGTGTTGGAAAGCCCCAACCTTATTTTAACCCACGGGAAATGTTCACGTCTCCTGCCTCCAAGAGCCTGCACTGCATGGTGCTCTGGATCTGGCCCCGAGCTCATTGGGATCAATGCAGGTGAGACCCATTGATTTCACTAAGCCCTGATAGGGAAAGCAGGAGCATAAGGGATCAGAGAGGACTGTCCCTGGGGCTCAGGGCATCCCAACCCCCTTGCACAGGTGCTTGGTTCATTTTCCAATGCTATGAAATGTCTCTGACAGGACGGACTCGTATATGTGGACCTGGCATTTGAACCGCTACCTTGCCGCAAACCCAGAAAGCAGCAGGCAGCACAAGGGAAGAATGTGACACCATGAACAGCCGCATCCACGGGCTCCTTCATGCGGGGATGGCGGCCACTTCTCTGCTGATCGGCGTGCATCATGGCAGCCACCAAAAAGTCTCCATGGGGGGACATGCTCTCTCTTTGTGGGCGTTCAGACTGGACAGGTCATTAGGCCCCAAAGATGAGTGTGGCTGGGGAGGACGTCGTTTTACATCATTGTAGCAAAGACTTCCCAGGAGAACTAGGTGGAACATTTCCCCCCATCATAGGACACTTGAACAGAAACATAAATTTCACTTTTTCCCCCTTGAAATTCCCAGCTGCAAACATCCCCTGTGGAGGGACTTCAGGTGGACTCTTGAGCTGTTCGATAATCAGGGAACAAGAGACAATCCCCAGGGACCTGGGCCTGTGTCCAGCCCACAATCGGACGGGAACCTGTGCTGCAGTAGCTGTGCTGCGCTCCCACACGAGCTGGGAGGATGCTGCGCTGTGGGTTTAGCACATGCACTCTGAATGCACTCATCCCACGGCCTTTTCCCTGCCATCACTACCCGTGCTAACAAGATTCAGCTACTCTGTGCTATGGTCCCCCATGCTCTGGCTGTTTGCAGCCTTCTGACCAAAAAATAAAACCCCAAAACCTTTGTTGCCCAAAAATGCCAGCTTTTCCTTATGGGTGAAAAATTGTTCAGGAAAGATTTTTGGTAAGAAAAATCTAGATGCAATATTTACAATCTCTCCGTGTTGTGGGGGATGCAGTACATTATAAGGCCAGAAGGACCCAGAATTATGATCCTGAGCTGAGTGTTTCTGGTAGTGGCTTCAGCTTTGAGCTCCCTAGTTGTGGTCTGAGTGGCTTGGTGACCTGTGCTGTGCTCTGAGCTACAAGAACAACCCACCTGAGGATTTAACCAGCTTCCCAGGCAGGGTTGGTAGCCCCGGATGGCCTCCATACACCACAACTGCACCCAGCTCAAGCTAAGGTGTGCTTTCTGCTTAAGCAGCTTGGTGATCTATGGTCTTGTTCCTGCCCCTGTCAGCAATAGGCAGCCTCATAATGAAGCATCTCTGGACCTGCTGCTAACATGATTTAAAGCCTCTTGATGCCCACCCAGCAGGGCACGGGGTGCAGAGTTAGGGGCAAGTGATTAAACTCCTAGACTAAGCAAGGGGGGATGTGAGTGCAATGTAAAATGATGTTTAGGTATCACAGGGCAGGGTGATGGCCAGAGGCTGTGACTGGTCCACGTGTCCAGCCCACAGCTCATAAAAAGCATAGTCCGTCCCCTAGGTCAGACTGGTGCAGCTGCAAGGGAAATGATTCAGATCCACCATCGGTCAATACCCGACTGCTGGAAGTGGCCCCTCGGGTGTGCAAATGGGGACGTGCAAAGGTGACCCCTGGAGCTCACTCCCAGCCCTGCTGCTCTGTGATTCTCTATGATGCATCTGTGCAGCGGTTGGGAAGCAAAAGCAACACTGCACGTGCTTCACACAGAGCAGCTCCCTCCCTTCTGCTCCTCAGTGACTTACGGGGATTGACCAGTATTTTCAAGGAAAGATCTTTTTCCCCCCTTCATTCTGACTTTCAGAAATAAGGTGTGTATCTTCTTCAGGGCATGTTGTACATGAGAACATATGGTCTGTTGTATTGTAGCATAAATGTTACATCGTTAGTATATAAATATGTAAAAACAATGACCTATTGTCATCACGATGCAAATGGATGCATGAGGTTGTATCATTACATTGGGAAATCCCTGTATTGACTCTATTGGTAGAGCAGGTGCATGAGTAAAAGGATAAGGCCATGTCCCCTGGCTGCTTCCCACTCCTGCCAGGGCCTGGCCCTGCCTTGCACCCGGTCTCCAGGGGCAGCCAATGTGACTTCATTGTTGCCCTACAGCGGGGCGTTTTATACTTGCAGTTGGACTGGGAATGGCAGCGTCACCACACGGAGAGGGAAGGGCACCCAGCAGGATGGACTTGAGTGAGGATGTGAGGCTTGCAGGCAGCAGGGTCATCGGTGGGCTTTGGCACCTGCTCTGGGTGCCCAGAAGGTGGCATTGGCCTTTGCTGCTCTGTTCCACCTCCCCCAAGACGCCTGAGGCAGGAAACGACCCACGGAGGGAACAGCGCGGGGGCCGCGGGCTCTGCATGTCACGGCATCCTGGGCCAGAAGCCCCTTGGGCAGGGAGCATCGGGTCCCTGCTCGGTGTCTGTGCAGCTCCAGGCACCAGGGAGCTCTGGTCCGAGACTGGGGCTGGCAGGGACTTTCCTGCAAATAAACCAGAGTTACTGCTCTAACGAGCACTGCTGTTAATTACTGCTCTTTCCTCCTTTGCACTTTGTCATTACTCCAGTTCCCGGACCAGCCCCTTGCTCCATGTCTGAACCTCCAGACCCAGCTCGCAGGGCCCTGCAGGAAGGGAGCTGGTGCTGATGATGCCACCTCTTAGGCAGGGTCTCCTTACACCCAGCTGGACCCCGGGCCATGGCCCAGCAGCCCTGTGGGTCTCCATCCTCACAGCTCCCTCCCCAGGGCTGGGGCACATCTGGGCCCACAGTTGTTCAGACAACCGGACCGTCTGCGTCGCAGCTACAAGTGGCATAAGTAAAGTTTTGCAACCATTAAGCTTTGTCCGCCTCTCTATTCACCAGCCCGCCCAACGAACGAGTAATTGTTGGATCACCTCGAGTCGGCTTTTGCTGTCCGAGACACTGGCATCTCTGGGGCTCACCTGGACCCTCTGCCCTTCAGTACTAGGTAATCAGCACAGCTCACCCCTCTACCCCCTGCTGAGCTCCCAGCCCTGAGCCTCTCTCCAGGGACTGATGATAACCCGGGTGCTAGAGGAAGCAGGCTTGCTGCCTAAAGTGCCTTTGTAGGGCTGGGGGAAGGCTCTGTGATGCAGGGTGATGTCCAGGGGTTGTGGCTGGTCCACATGTCTGGCCACAGCTCATAAAGAGCAGAGTCTGTCCCCTGGGCCAGCCTGGTGCTGCTGCCATGCAGACCATTCAGATGCACCATCGGTCAATACATGGCTCCTCAAAGTGACCCCTCGGGTGTGCATTTGGGGATGTGACAGAGGGAGGAGCTCTGACTGGTGTCTCTCTCCATTGCAGGACTTCAGCCCAGGAGCTCAGCCCCTCCAGCTTCCCAGGAGGAACAGGTACCTCTGCTGCGACCCATCGCTGTCCTCGCAGAGCTGTCCATCCTGGGCAGTCCCCTTCACCACCTTAGTGTATTTGGTGACCAAACACGCTGATCCCCAAGTCGGGTTTTGAACCATGGCTCAGTTGCTCGGCCGAGGGGGCGCCAGTGCCTTCCCTTTTCTGTGCCTTGGTTACCCTGTGCACAAGGGTGCCCACAAGTTTCACACATCATCCTTTCTGCCCCTGCCCCCCTCCCCCCACAGGGCCAAAAATGCTCCCTCCTTCTTTGCTGGGAGCAGGGAATATTTCTAGCACCTCAGTCAAAGAGGGGTCGTTCCTGCAAAGGGCTTTAGCGTTCTCCACTGGCAGCTGCTCTGGGCCTGATCCAGTGCAGGGAAGCAGCTCAGAGACACCCTTTCATTTCAGTGTGTTTTGGATCCAGCCAAGAAGAGCCACTATTTGCCACAAACAGCTTTAAACTTAGAGTGTCCATTGGGATTTCCATCTCGCTATCACACACTAGCCTAATAAGGGCTTTATCACATTGCATTTACCATACTTCCTCATGCATAGCACACCTTGTTCCCGACACACCAGCTGCTAGAAAGCAAGGAAATATGGTAATAGCAGTGCAAAGAAGGTTTCGTATGCCATATTATGGAATATACCTAACATATTGGTATATAAATATGTAAAAACCATGACTTATGGTCATCATGATGCAAATGGATGCACGAGGTCATAGCATTACATTGGGAAATCCCTGTATTGAATTGATTGTAAAGCAGGCACATGAGCAAGGACAAGGCCGTGTCCCCTGGCTGCTTCCCACTGCTGCCAGGGCCTGGCCCTGCCTTGCACACGGTACCCGGGGCAGCCAAGGTGACTTCATTGTTGTCCCGCAGGGGGGAGTTTTATACACGCAGCTGGACTGGGAACAGCAGCATCACTGCATTGACAGCGAGCAGCACCCAGCAAGAGGGACGCGACTGAGGATGTGAGGCCTGAAGGCAGTAGGGCTGGCCATGGGCTCTGACACCTGCTGTGGGTGTCCAGGAGCTTGCTTCAGCCTTCAGCGCTCTGTACCGACTCCCCCAAGACGCCTGAGGCAGGAAACGACCCACGGAGGGAACGGCGCAGGGGCCGCGGGCTCTGCAATTTCATGGCATCCTGGAGCAGAAGCCCCTTGGGCAGGGAGCATCGGGTCCCTGCTCGGTGTCTGTGCAGCTCCAGGCACCAGGGAGCTCTGGTCCGAGACTGGGGCTGGCAGGGACTTTCCTGCAAATAAACCAGAGTGATTGATCTAACGAGAGCTGCTGCTAATTACTGCTCTTTCCTCCTTTGCTCTTTGTTATTTCTCCAGTTCCCAGACCTGTCCCTTGCTCCATGTCTGAACCTCCAGGCCCAGCTCGCAGGGCCCTGCAGGAAGGGAGCTGGTGCTGATGGTGCCACCTCTTAGGCAGGGTCTCCTCGCACCCAGCTGGACCCCGGGCCATGGCCCAGCACCCCTGTGGGTCTCCATCCTCACAGCTCCCTCCCCAGGGCTGGGGCACATCTGGGCCTGGGCCTGCTGCCTCAGGGAGGGGGAATTAAGGAGGGCAAGAGCTGGCATGAGACTGTGCCCAACCAGGACCCCGGGAGACAGCAGCTAGCCTCGTCATGGGGTCCCTGAGTGTGACCCCTGAGCTGGACGGCACTGTAACAAGGGGGCAGTCCCTTTGAGGGGTGCTGGGAGCAACCAGACAGCTGCTGTCCTGTGACACGGCCCCTTGAAGGCAGAAGGCCTGGGAACAGCAGCTGAGCTGGGGATTGGGACCAGGTGTCCATCAGGCACCTGCCTCCTAACCACAAGAGATTTGGCCAATTCAGACACCAGAGATTCAATTTGGAGATCTGAATAGTTTTTCTGATTTGATTTGGCCGAATCGCTTCGGGAGATTTGGTGCTGATTCGGAGCCGATTCACAGATTCGGCCATAGAGTATAATGGCACCAGAGATTCAATTTGGAGATCTGAATAGTTTTTCTGATTTGATTTGGCCGAATCGCTTCGGGAGATTTGGTGCTGATTCGGAGCCGATTCACAGATTCGGCCATAGAGTATAATGGGGAATCAATGCAAAGAAAGGGAGAGGTGAGCCCAGGTGCCGAGAGAAGGAGGAACCCAGTGGGAAGGTTCATAGTTGTATTCAGGGGCTGGGCTGGGCTGGGAGGGGAGCTGGGAACATGAAGCCCAGAGCAAGGGTGCACTGAAGCTGACACAGC